CCTCCACCATCCCCAATCTCTGACTTGTGACCCGTTTGAGGATTTGGGGACTTACCAGGGGGCGGGGGGGGGGGGGGGGGGGGGGGGGGGGGGGAGGGCGAGCCGCGGGAGTTGCACCTCGAGTACATCTCCGGAGTTTCGACTTCTGCGCGGTTGCAGTTCGCAAACGATACAGGCCTTAAAGCCTAAAGCATGCCTGGAGTAACTTAGGGTTTAGGGTTCAGGGCTTAGGGTAAACAAGAGAGAAAAGATATCCGGTGCTTGAGGCAATCTTCCTTTTTTAAAGCGCATACACTTCCCCCAAACCCGAAGGCCCTCAACCATAAGACCATGAATGGTCGTTGCTATCTTGTTAAGCCCGACAAGTCCTATAGCCCCAAGGATCCGCTCTTAGGAAGGGTTCAATGCGAAACCCTAACTCGATGCTCTAATTAGCCCCAACCCCCAAACCCTAAACCCCAAACCCCAAACCCTAAACCCCAAACGCTAGACATCCCCTCTGTAAGACTCGCCGGTGCATCTCGGCGGAGGAGATTCGCGCCAGATCTGCCTGGGTCCAAGCGCTAAGTTTTTAGGGACTCTGAGTCGGGCTTCGGATTTAGGGTTTAGGGCTGAGGTTTTACAGGGCAGGGAGTCCCTACAACACTGCATTCGAGCCTTAAAAGGAACTGCCAGAGAGACCCAATACCTCTTGATTAAGGAATGCAACCCCCAAAAACCCTCAACCCCGATAAACCCTAAGGCCCTGAACCCTAAACACTAAACCCTTCATACTCAAACCCCAGTCCCGTAATTAAGAAACCCTTAGGACTTCATGGGTGGCTTTGGGGGGGTTTAGGACTTAAGGTCCCTTGTGTGGGGGGGAGGGGGAGGGGGGGGTGGGGGAGGGGGGGGGGTGGGGTGGGGGGGGGGGCTGTTTGAAGGGTGCCGTGCTGCATTAAGGACCCCGAAAAGGCTTAGAGAACTACCCATGTGGCGGATGAGACGAAAGGTTCGGCAGCCCAAGCCACTGCCCAAAGCGGTTTAGGGTTAGGGTTTAGGGTTTAGGGTTTAGGGTTTAGGGTTTAGGGTTTAGGGTTTAGGGTTTAGGGTTTAGGGTTTAGATGGGTTTAGGGTTTAGGTTTAGGGTTTAGGGTTTAGGATGTTGCGGAACTGAAGGCGACCCCCCCCACCCCGGACGTCCAAGACCAGCCCTGAACAGACCAAGCTTCAATCAAACTCTCAGAGCCCTGGGAACCGAACTCATAACCCTAAAAACTGAAACCTGTACCCAGAACAGGGTTTAGGGTTTAGGGTTTTGGGTCTAAACCCTAAACCCTAAACCCATCCACACCCTTCTCTGAACCTTGAACCCACCCCACCCCCATCCCCCCGGCCAAACTCTTCCCAAGTCCCTGGTGCCTCGGTGACGTCAGCCCAATACAAGAAGAGAGGCCTCCGCCAAATCTCCGCGGTATGCAAGGCTATGAAGAGACACTTTGCCCACGAGCTAGTTTAGGGTTCTTAAGGGAGGGGGGTCAAAGGGGGGGTATGTAACCCAAGGTTCCCTAATACTCCCTAACACTCCCTAAGCTTCCCTACCCCCTTGAACCCCCCGCCCTTTGGAACCCTATGATAGTAGTAGGGAATAAGGGAGTGAGGTACCTTGCTATACTCCTCTATACATACAACCCTTTACTTAAGGGGTTAGAGAACCCTGAACCCTACACAGAGAAAGAGGAACCTAGTTCGCAATTCCCAACAAAAAGCTATATAGATAGTTGCTTTCGGGTGTAGGATTTTAAGGTTGAGGGCATGAGGTGCTTCTCTACAAAAAGGAACTCACATCTTGCGTTTGGGGTTTTGGGCTTGGGGTTTGGGGTTCAGGGTTTGGGGTTCATAGGGTGTTGGGGTGAGCCGTTTGATCTTCTGTCGGAGGGCTTCGATTTTGGCAGCTGGGGGTTTATAGGGTCATAAGGAAAAAGGGGTTCGGGGGGGGGGGGGGGGGGGGTAACCCAAGGTTGCCGACTAGTCCCTAAGGCTCCCTCAGCTTCCCCAGAACCTACCCCCCATGAACCCCCCTCTCCGAAGAACCCTATACAGGGTGGATCGGCGTACTGGTGTTGAATTGAAAGACACCTCGTAGAAGCGCGACAGCCTCCGGTAGGGCCTAAACCGAAAATGACGACCCCCAAAAAACCCTACAAACCCTGAACCCTGACCCTAAATCCCCCATAAACCCCTACATACGGGGCCAACATCTGCCCTCAGTTGTAAGACTTGAGTGTGTCTTGAGCGGAGGTCAACCCTCGAACCCTAAACCCTGAACCCTGCACCCCAACTGCCTGAAGCCCTAAAGCTCCGACACCTGAAGCCCCAAAACCCTAAAACCCTCAAACACCTAAAACCCTTCACCCCAAACCCTAAACCCTAAACCCTAAACCCTGACCAAAGACCCCAGAACTCTAAACCCTGAACCCTATTTTGTTTTGCCTTGAAGCTGTGCAAACATGTTGTCAAGCCCCGAAACCCTAAATTCCCTAAGGTGCAATCCAGGGAGCCTCCTTTATAAACACCGTAAACCACTAAGACCCGAAGACCCTCCCCTAAGACCCCAAGACCGTAAGACCCTGAGACCCCAACAGAGCATGCCCTAAACCCTAAACCCCGAAACCTCTAAAACACTAAACCCCTAAACCCTAAACCCTACACTTCCCTAAACCCTAACCCTAAACCCTAACCCTAAACCCTAACCCTAAACCCGAAACCCTAAATCCTAAACTTCCCTGAACACCCCTAAGGGCGAAGCCTCAGGTCCTCCGGCTTCGGCCGTGGCTTCAGCGTCTTCGGCATGGCAAAGCCCGACGTCTGGGCCGTTTGGGGTTTGGGGTTTAGGGTTTGGGGTTTAGGGTTTAGGGTTTGGGGTTTAGGGTTTAGGGTTTGGGGCTTAGGGCTTGGGGTTTAGTGTTTTGAGTTTGTTGGGTTCAGGGTTTTAGGGGTTAAATTCTAGGGTTTTAGGGTTCGGGCCTAGACCTAGAAACTTTGGCTTTGGGGGTCTGGTGTCTTACAATGCACCCTTCGTCGGCGCGGTGTCGATGGCGGTCATGTCCTCATATAAGGCATTTCCCAAATAGGGGTACCTCTAATAAACCCTAAACCCTAAACCCTAAATCCTAAACTCTAAACCCTAAACCCTAAACCCTAAAATCCTTATTGTAGGACCCCCAAAAATCGGTACCATGCATCTGGTCTCTCTTTGGAGTGTCCTCTTTCCGGCTCTGGCCCTCCGACCCTAAACCCTAAACCCTAAACCCTAAACCCTAAACCCTAAACCCTAAACCCTAAACCCTAAACCCTAAACCCTAAACCCTAAACCCTAAACCCTAAACCCAAAACAAGCTGCACAGGCTTGGAAAGTCAACAACAGTGGGCCGAAGATCGCATCGGTTTCCAAGTGAGGTTCCAAATCCTCGTCTAGACCCAAGAGTAACCTGGGAAAAAAAGGGTGCCCTTTTTGGTTTGGGGTCCATTGCCGGGCTGGCGATTACGCCAGACAGCCCTAAACCCTAAACCCTAAACCCTAAACCCTAAACCCTAAACCCTAAACCCTGGGAACCCCCCAAAAACTTCGAAGGCCCTTGAGGATTTTGGTTCGGGCCCTGCGGCGCAGACTCTTGCGGGTATGAGCGGTCTATCGGGCTTGCAGGGCTTGGAGGCTTCAAAGGGTTTTTCGGTGCCCTAAACCCCAAAACCCCAAACCCCAAACCCTAAACCCTAAACCCTAAACCCTAAACCCTAAACCTGGGGCCCCCGGCCGTGGTGGAAGAATAACCCCGGCCCATTCGTTTGCCGGAGTCCCCCCGCAGGGTACCCATGTTCATGGAAAGCAGGGTGCAGCTACGAGCCGGATGGCCACCATTGGGGTTTAGGGTTTAGGGTTTAGGGTTTAGGGTTTAGGGGTTGGCTGTTGGGTTCTTTTGGGGCCCTCCTGTTTAAGCCCATCCCCTCTCTGTGGGTCTCAGGCAGAATGCTGCACCCACTTTGTGAAGACATGTCCTCCTGAACTGTTGGGCCACCCTTCTGCCTTAAGTAGACCCCCCAAGAACGCCCCCTTGGGGTACTGCAATTGATAATCCCTAAACCCTAAACCCAACACCCTAAACCCTAAACCCTAAACCCGGTTGCCACCCGAGCAGCTGGTCTTTGAAGCGGGCCTAAATCCTGAAGAAGCCCCCCCAAGCCGAACTCGAAAGAGAAAGTCCAAGAGCCCCTAACACCCTCAACTGAAAATGTTCCCCCTTGTACTAACAATCCAGAATACCCCTTCATGGGGGGGGGGGGGGGATTATACTCGGGGGGGTACTATCATCCCTTATAAGGCGGAGCATCCCAACCCTAAACTCGTAAACCCTTAAAACCCGAAATTTAAACACCAAGCATCAAACACTCGAGCCAACGGGCGGAGGACTGCCCGGATACCAAAACACTAAACTCCAATGACTTCCCCAACCTATGTCCTAAAATCCCAAAGGATCGGGTGGGGAGGGCGGATGCTGAGAGCTGATCTTGCATTCTTTGTTTTGCCATGCATTGCAGCGTTTGGGGCTGCATAGGGCCTTAACCCTACGTTGGAGTAGACCCTAGCAAAAAGTATATGTTGTTTTAGGTATAAGTGGCTATAATTGCAACCCAGAACCAAACAAAGTATAAAAGTATGGTACTCCAAGATCCAGAAATCCCAAGCCCTAAACCCTAAACCCTAAACCCTAAACCCTAAACCCTAAACCCTAAACCCTAAACCCTAAACCCTAAACCCTAAACCCTAAACCCTAAACCCTAAACCCCAGCACATCTCCGCCACACCATTTCTGCACGGCTGCATGCTCGCAAGGGCTTCTCGTCCCCTGGCTCCTCAAGCTTCATCATGAAGGGGTTTGCAGTTCATTGTAGCCCTAAACCCTAAACTCTAATCCCTAAACCCTAAACCCTAAACCCTAAACCCCCCCAACTTGGGTGAAGCCCTAGAGGTCCAACTTCAGCCTGGGCATCTGCTGCCACCTCTGCTTGGCCATCAGCTGCTGCTCAGGAGGGTAGGGGGCCACCTTTGACGCTGTGAGATACATTGTTTAGGGTTTAGGGTTTAGGGTTAAGGGTTAAGGGTTAAGGGTTAAGGGCGCGGTTGAGAGTTGTTGGGATTCAGGGTTTAGGGTTCGGGGCTTGGCCTGTGTTCCGAGCCCTTCCTGTTGTTTGAGTCGCTGTTGCACTACGTCCCTGACATCCCTCGGAGTTCGCATGAACCAAATAAGGGCTTATGGGGTTTAGCGGTACGGTTTGCTGACTTGAGATTTAGATTCGCAGGCCTCGGACGCGTATCTTTAAGACAGCTGATTGCGGCAGGCTGCCCTAAAAATGTACTACGTAGGAGCAGGCTTCATCTCCTACTTGAAAGGCTCCCATGAAGGACGCTTTTAAGGTCTACTAGAAACTCAACACAAAAAAGGGACTACATTAGAGCCTTCAAGTAAACCCATACACCGTTCCTCAAGGGACTAAAGGAGGGACCCTTATAAGGGACCTTAGGGGTTCGTTAGGGGACGTTTGGGGGCTACTTTGGTCACAAAGGGACAAACTAAGGTATATATTAGGGTCATATATGTACAAGGGGTCCTCCTTTTTACCCCTTCAGTTCACCAAGGCTGCAGGCACAACCATCGCAATTTTATTTTGGGGGGAACCTGGAGCGAGCGGGGTGCTGTTGAGGGTTTTAGGGGTGGTCGTATGAAGTCACTGAACCCAAAAAACTCAAGACCCGAAACCTAAACCCTAAACCCTGAGGACTAAACGCGTGGGTTCAGGAATTCCCCCGCTCCTCGCCCAGACAGCCCAGTCTTTTCTCAGGCTTCTTCTACGGGGAGGAGTGGGTTTAGGGCTTAGGGTCTGGGGGCTTATGGGGCTTTCAGAAGCGTCAGTCGACCAATCATAAGCTGGGATGCGGGCTCCTCCCTGCTACATCAGAAACCCCAAAATATACTCACTACCCGGGGTGAACCCTACACCCTGTAAGCCCTATAAACCCCTCTAAGCCCTATAATCTCTGCAAACCCTGCAAACCCTATAAACCCTATAAACCCTGCAATTAGATCGTAAACCCACTTTTCCCGAAATCCTAAACCCTAAACCCTAGACCCTAATGCTTGAGAGCCTCAGCGCGAGTCCCCCTGACTGGGTGCACTTTTGTTTTGGCCCTTTCATTTTTGCTGTTGGATTGTTTTTTCTTTGGGGGGGGGGGGGTAGGGTTTAGGGTTTAGGGTTTAGGGTTTAGGGTTTAGGGTTTAGGGTTTAGGGTTTAGGTTTTATGGTTTAGGGTTTAGGGTTTAGGGTTTAGGGTTTAGGGTTTAGGGTTTAGGGTTTAGGGTTTAGGGTTTAGGGTTTAGGGTTTAGGGTTTAGGGTTCAGGGTTCAGGGTTCAGGGTTTAGGGTTTAGGGTTTAGGGTTTAGGGTTTGGAGTTTGGAGTTTGGGGTTCGGGGTTTGGGGTTAAGAAAAGAGGTTTTTCTCTGGTTTTCCTCTGTTTTCTACCAGGAAAGTGGTGCAACGAAAAAATGGCCAACAAAACAATCCCCCCCAAAAAATGGGTCCCCCCTGACTCTGTGCCGAACCACCCGCACCACGCCATGCTCTGCATGTAGCCATATGATCCTTAGTGCAGGGTATAGGGTTTAGGGTTTAGGGTTTAGGGTTGAGGGTTGAGGGTTGAGGGTTTAGGGCTTAGGGCTTAGGGTTCAGGATTTCGGGTTTCGGGTTCAGGGCTCCTACAAGCCCATGGCCCCAGCTCGCATGCCATGACGGGTGATCAAGTTGTCAGGGTCTTTGTTTGGTACCCTAAAGGTCCATGTACCTATAGTATATACTTGGGCCTGAAAGGGGTTCCCACATAGTAGCTTTAGGGCTGCAATGCACCAACCCATTTCTCTTGCGAATCGCCACGGCGAGTTCCACTGTTAAGGGACTAAAGGAGGGACCCTTATAAGGGACCTTAGGGGTTCTTCGGAGTTGTTTAGGGGCTCCTTGGGCCTGTAAGGGCTATATAAGCCATATATACGGGCGATGTAGGGGAACAAGACGAAGGGTCCCTTAAGTTCCCTCCTTCTACCCCTTAACTGAGTCCCTCTAGGGTTTAGGGTTTAGGGTTTAGGGTTTAGGGTTTAGGGTTTAGGGTTTAGGGTTTAGGGTTTAGGGTCCCTCCTTCTAGGAGCAGGTGCTTTTGACCCGGCAGCTTCATGCTGCGACCGATGGCCCTCCACAAGTGCCACCCAATGCGGCGCGAAGCGCCCAGCAAGCGAACAAGACAAAAACAGCCATTGGGGTTTAGGGTTTAGGGTTTAGGGTTTAGGATTTAGGGTTTAGGTTTGGGGTATACTGCTGGGCTTAGAGCTTATAGAGGGTATGGTTTATAGGGTTGTTTGAAGAAACAAACACAGGGTAACATCTTTGCAAGTCATTTCTGAGTGTGTCACATGGCTGAACGTAAGACGTGGTCACGCCATCATCAGCGAGGCGAGAATCACGCAGCAACTCGTCTGAGATACTGGATTCACCCCCCCAACCTCGCTCACAGTGGCCTGAGGAAGTGGCAAATGGTGTTGGCCCCCCATCTGGATTCGCCGAAATGTCTCACAATCGCCTGCACGCGGGGACCCTGCTTGTGGGGTGCCAGGCTTTAGGCTTTAAAGGGGTTTCTAAACCGTAAACCCTAAACCCTAAACCCTAAACCCTAAACCCTAAAGCCCTAAACCCCTAGACCCCATATTAATTAAAATGCACATCGGGGGGACTCGGGACTTGCCTTGAATTCCTGCGCTCAGCAGCAGCTGCTGGAGTTCTTCTTCCTCGTCGCCTTGCTCTTCCTCAGCTGCTCGTCAGGGTTTAGGGTTTCGGGTTTAGGGTTTTAGGGTTTAGGGTTTAGGGTATAGGGCCTATAGGGTTTAGGGTTTAGGGTCCCTTCTTCAATGTGTTGCAGTGTTGCCCTTTTTCCGGAAAAGGGATCCCCCCCCCCCCGGTGTACCCTAACACTTGAACCCTGTTTGGTTTAGGGTCCGGGGTTTAGGGTTCTAGACCCAAAGTCCATATGCATTTCCCAAACCCTCTCCGAGCGTCGTCGCAAGCGCCGAGGTCTTCAAAAGCGTTGAGCCAGCTTTGGCGCCGGCGTTTGTCGCGAAGATCTCACGGGCCTTGTCTGTCATGTCGTGATGTTCCTGCTGCATATGGGGCGGTTTAGGGGCTTGCTTGAAGTAAGGCTCTCATGAAGCTCCTTTCTGGTTAGAAGTCGCAAAGTCGTGCCGGCACACGACACACATGCTTGGTTGAAATCGTGCTCTCGCCGAGCCCGTGCCGGTTCGCGATTTTCAAGGCCCTTAAAGCTTACCCTGAAAGCCTGCTTTCTTAATGAATCCTAAATCCGATAAAAACCTTGACTAGGGTTTCGGTTTAGGGTTCGCGCTTCCGTTGTAAGGGGATTACACTTTGCAGTGGATGTGTCAGTCGTGATCTTGGGCTCTTGGGGTGTCTGCCCAGGCGAGAGTTGCGAGCTGGAACGCGGGCGGCACGCACGGCTGCCTCAACCAAATTCCCGAGAGGCATGGGTTAATTATCCCTAAAATGGCCTTAATTGTGAGGGGGAGTAGTATAGAGGGGGGTGGGAGTAGCAGGGGAACCCATGATCGAGAGTTCAGGATTTCAAAGGCTTAGGGATACAAGCAGTCTTCGTGTGTGTGTGTGTGTGTGTGTGTGTGTGTGTGTCAGACTCTCAACGCCGCCCCAAAACGTGCACGTCTCTCACCCCCGCCACCCGAAGCGCCCTTAAGCCCCGCAACCAAACGCTAAACCCCCTGAGAAAACCCTAAACCCTCGGAAGGCCCCCCAAACCCTAAACCCTAAACCCTAAACCCTAAACCCTAAACCATAAACCCTAAGCCCTAAAACCCTAAACCAAACCGCAAGCCCTAACCAGCCCCACTGCTTCCTGAGGCACGGTGTGACCCTCCGGATGCGAGGTGACCACAAAGCCGAGTGGTAGTGACTCGCTGGGGGCGAACCACTTTCCTTTCTCCAGCTCCTATACTGAATTTGGAACCCTAAACCAAAAACAATATTTTGAGCTGCCTCTTAGGAATTACGGTACCCAAACATTAAGAAATATTTCCAAGTATCGAGCATGAGAGCCGTCATGTCATTCCCGTCCTGCAAGTTCTTGTCGGCACCGGCTTCCAGCAGCAGGCGCACAATCTCAACGTGGCCCCAGGAAGATGCAAGCATGAGACATGCCGGAAGTGCTCCTCATGTTCTTGTCGGCACCGGCTTCCAGCAGCAAGTGTACAATCTCCACACAGCCCACAGAGGATGCGAGAGTGAGAGCTGGTCATGCCATAGCTGTTTTGCAAGTTCTTTTCGGCACCAGCTCCCAACAGCAAGCGAACAATCTCAATGCTGCCGTTGGAAGATGCGAGCATGAGAGCTGTCATGCCGGACGTGCTCCCCACGTTCTTGCTAGCACCGGCTTCCAGCAGCAAGTGTACAATCTCAACGTGCGCCCAGGTAGATGCGAGCATCAGAGCAGTCATGCCGGACGTGCTCCTCAAATTCCTGTCAGCACCGGCTTCCAGCAGCAAGCGTGCAATCTCAAAGTGGCCCCTGGAAGATGCAAGCATGAGAGCTGTCGCGCCGGACAAGCTGCTCAAGTTCTTGTCGGCACCTGCTTCCAGTAGCAAGCGTACAATCTCAACGGAGCCCTCAAAGGATGCGAGCATGAGTGCGGTCGTGCCGTGTTCATGCAGAAAGCCCACGCAGCCGATCCGAAAGAGAGAGGGCTGGCCATACTCGTTGTCGTCCTGCAGGTTTTTGTCCGCACCGGCTTCCAGCAGCAAGCGTATGATCAAACGCAGCCCAAAGCGGATGCCATCTTCAGAGTTGTCCAGCCATACCAATCCCCCAAGTCTTTGTCAGCACCGGTTTTCAGCAGCAAGTGTACAATCTCAACGTGCGCCCAGGCAGGTGAGCACGCGGCGTGCATGAGAGCTGTACGACCACAGCTGTCCTGCAAGGTGTAGTCCGCACGGGCTTCCAGAAGCAAGCGTGCAATCTCAACGTGGCCTGCAGAGCACGCGAGCATGAGAGCAGTGCTGCCTTCAAAGACACATGCCATGCAAAAAAGACACCACCCGCGCGGCCGCAAGTTCATGTCGGCATCTGCTTCCAGCAGCACGCGTACAATCTCAATGTGGCCCTTGTAAGATGCCCGCGTGAGTGCTGTCATGCACAGGCTATTGAAGCTATTCGTGTCAGCACCAGCCTGCAGGAGAGCCCGAGCAGCTTGAACATGGCCGGTCTCTGCGGCAAAATCTACGAGCTCGTCTGCAGCCTCAACCATCTGGTCCGGCTGCAAGTCAGTAGGCCTAGGAGGGCCCTTAAAAACCCTTCCGGCAAATATTCCCATAGACATGATCCTCTTAAAGCCAATACAGGAAAATACAAAAAAATGTCCCAAGGGCCTACCTAGGGGCCCATCCAGAAGAGCAAAATTCTCCAAGCAGCTCTCAGCTTGCAGGAGCTGTTGAAGGCACACTGGGTACCCATGCTGTGCGCGCAAGTGGACCTTCAAGTCCATCACATATCCTAGGATGGCCCTTTAAAACCCTCCAAAAAAGTTTTAGGATTCAGGGTTTAGGGTTTTTTGGGTTTATGGTTTAGGGTTTAGGGTGATCCTCTAATAGGAAACAAGACTAAGAAAAGACACCTTTCCCAAGAGCCTACCGAGAATCGCAAGTCCTCCGCTGGCATGGACAGCGCGGCAAGCTCTCGTCCCGAAGGTAACCAGACACGTAGCATGGGCGACGCAGCTGGCCGCGCACTCCAAGGAGGCCCGTCGATTCGCGATACTTGCTGGATCCAAAAGCTGCACTTAAAGAGTAGTTTAAAAAAACCCTAAACCCTAAACCCTAAACCCTAAACCCTAAACTCTAATCCCTCCAGCGAGCTGCAGAGTTTGCACAGCGCAGCCTTAGAATTTACATGGGGGTAATGGAGAACGGAGTCAGATATTGTCTGTTGTGGGAGCCTTGCTGCCCTAAACCCTAAACCCTAAACCCTAAACCCTAAACCCTAAACCCTAAACCCTAAACCCTAAACCCTAAACCCTAAACCCTAAACCCTAAACCCTAAACCCTAAACCCTAAACCCTAAACCCTAAACCCTAAACCCTAGACCCAAACCCTAAACCCTAAAACCCTAAACCCTAAACCCTAAACTGGCTCCGGAGCATGACAGTACAGGGTACCCTGATTAGAAGGGCATCCTCCCAGACCTCTGGCACCAAAGGTTGATCCTTGAAACCCTAAACCGAAGTCGTGTCCATTTCCTTATTTGGGGGTTTCCGAAAAATAGGGGTACCCTTTTTGGGGTCCCTTTATAAAGGGGCTTCTATTCTATTTGGTGTATGGGAAATACCCATTCTGGATGACCGCGCAACGATGTATACAGTCGGTTTATCTCACGTGATACACAGAATGGAAAGCTGACGTTTTTTTTTGCTGTAATGGACATTGAATCGCTTCATAAGTATTCAAGCCGTGAAGCCTTCATCACCGGGCTGCTCTGAACCCTAAACCCTAAACCCTATACCCTAAACCCTAAACCCTAAACCCTAAACCCTAAACCTCACGCTGGACGCCACGGCCGAGAGTCAAGTTTGCTCGCTGCCCTGACAGCAGTGGCAGAGCTTGATGCTTGTGCTGACCGCGGTGGAGGAGCCTAGGGCTGTTTTAACATGGCTTCAAGCTTCTATCCTTGTGGTTTAGGGTTTAGGGTTTGGGGTTTAGGGGTTAGGGGTTAGGGTTTAGTGTCCTTCATATAGGCAACTCCCCAAAACCTCCCCACCCCCACCCCACCCCCGCATTGTTTTTTGGGCTTCAACACTACCAAATCACTCAGTCACTCCAATACTGGATACATCGTGAACCTGGCGATCACTAACTGCACTACTTGTGTGTTTTCACGGCGAGCGCGTGCGTAGGGATCAAAAACTGCCAGCATGTGCATTGTCCGTGTCCCGTGCACCAGGCTGATGCAGATGGGGTATGAGTTTGCAGATCGGCGACGATGTAAGATGTGCCACAAAACCCTACGCTAGCCATCCTGAGCATGTGGTGCGAGCCCTAAACCCTAAACTCTAAACCCCAAACCCTAAACCCTAAACCCTAAACCCTAAACCCTAAACCCCAAACCCTAAACCCTGAACCCTGAACCCTGGGTGCTGTCACGACACACTTGGCCCGGCTGAAAGTTGACATCGCCAGAGCCTGCTGAGGCATTCCTGCGCAGCAAACCCAAAACCCTAAACCCTAAACCCTAAACCCTAAACCCTAAACCCTAAACCCTAAACCCTAAACCCTAAACCCTAAACCCTAAACCCTAAACCCTAAACCCTATACCCTAAACCCAAACCTGGCGGGTTCAACCATGTTCATCCCAAACCCGGTGGGGCTACATCTGTAGCACTGCAAGCTAGCCCTAAATCCTAAACCGACACATTCGCCGAACCGCTGCCGAAGCGATCATGGCGCTTGTACTACAGGAAGCCCTGCAAAAACCCTACATTCCATTCCCAAAGGGTCCATGTACCCATATAGTATATACATGCGCCCTAAAGCCTCTACTGCGCCAGGACGAAAGTTCGTCGCATGGGGGACTCATGCCACCATGTACGTGCAAACCCCCCACCCCCATAGACTCCTCCACAAGATGTGTCTCTGGGGCGCGGAGGATTTTGAGTCCTCCGTCGGAACAAAAAAGTAATATATGTTTAAAACAGCGCGGAAATTCCTCCGCCGGCCAGGCCACAGAAAATGCACTTCCGCGTACTCCGCGTCCTCCACTAACGCAAGATATGCAAGTGCGACAAAACTTTCTTCCTCCTGATGCTCTCACCCCACTCAACATGAACAGGGACCCGTGCAAATTTCCTGCAAGGCAACATTTCCGTGCAGGTGTCTGCCTGAGCTTGCCTGGCCTGCTTTGGCCACACGCAACATGAGTAGGGACGCGTCTGTCCGGCCACTTTGACACGGACGTGCCTTGCCGAACTATCGGTCCTGGAGTTCATGCTGCTCTCACCCCACTCAACATGAACAGGGACCCGTGCAAATTTCCTGCAAGGCAACATTTCCGTGCAGGTGTCTGCCTGAGCTTGCCTGGCCTGCTTTGGCCACACGCAACATGAGTAGGGACGCGTCTGTCCGGCCACTTTGACACGGACGTGCCTTGCCGAACTATCGGTCCTGGAGTTCATGCTGCTCCCACCCCACTCAACATGAACAGGGACCAGTGCAAATTTCCTGCAAGGCAACATTTCCGTGCAGGTGTCTGCCTGAGCTTGCCTGGCCTGCTTTGGACACATGCAACATGAGTAGGGACGCGTCTGTCCGGCCACTTTGACACGGACGTGCCTTGCCGAACTATCGGTCCTGGAGTTCATGCTGCGCCAGGACGAAAGTTCGTCGCATGGGGGACTATGCCACCATGTACGTGCAAACCCCCCACCCCCATAGACTCCTCCACAAGATGTGTCTCTGGGGCGCGGAGGATTTTGAGTCCTCCGTCGGAACAAAAAAGTAATATATGTTTAAAACAGCGCGGAAATTCCTCCGCCGGCCAGGCCACAGAAAATGCACTTCCGCGTACTCCGCGTCCTCCACTAACGCAAGATATGCAAGTGCGACAAAACTTTCTTCCTCCTGATGCTGAAGCTCCCACCCCACTCAACATGAACAGGGACCCGTGCAAATTTCCTGCAAGGCAACATTTCCGTGCAGGTGTCTGCCTGAGCTTGCCTGGCCTGCTTTGGACACACGCAACATGAGTAGGGACGCGTCTGTCCGGCCACTTTGACACGGACGTGCCTTGCCGAACTATCGGTCCTGGAGTTCATGCTGCTCCCACCCCACTCAACATGAACAGGGACCAGTGCAAATTTCCTGCAAGGCAACATTTCCGTGCAGGTGTCTGCCTGAGCTTGCCTGGCCTGCTTTGGACACACGCAACATGAGTAGGGACGCGTCTGTCCGGCCACTTTGACACGGACGTGCCTTGCCGAACTATCGGTCCTGGAGTTCATGCTGCTCTCACCCCACTCAACATGAACAGGGACCCGTGCAAATTTCCTGCAAGGCAACATTTCCGTGCAGGTGTCTGCCTGAGCTTGCCTGGCCTGCTTTGGCCACACGCAACATGAGTAGGGACGCGTCTGTCCGGCCACTTTGACACGGACGTGCCTTGCCGAACTATCGGTCCTGGAGTTCATGCTGCTCCCACCCCACTCAACATGAACAGGGACCAGTGCAAATTTCCTGCAAGGCAACATTTCCGTGCAGGTGTCTGCCTGAGCTTGCCTGGCCTGCTTTGGACACATGCAACATGAGTAGGGACGCGTCTGTCCGGCCACTTTGACACGGACGTGCCTTGCCGAACTATCGGTCCTGGAGTTCATGCTGCGCCAGGACGAAAGTTCGTCGCATGGGGGACTCATGCCACCATGTACGTGCAAACCCCCCACCCCCATAGACTCCTCCACAAGATGTGTCTCTGGGGCGCGGAGGATTTTGAGTCCTCCGTCGGAACAAAAAAGTAATATATGTTTAAAACAGCGCGGAAATTCCTCCGCCGGCCAGGCCACAGAAAATGCACTTCCGCGTACTCCGCGTCCTCCACTAACGCAAGATATGCAAGTGCGACAAAACTTTCTTCCTCCTGATGTATATGGGAACCCCTTTAAGGCCCAAGTTTCTACTATTTTGGTTCATGGACGCTTAGGGCTACATTACACTCTTCGGAGCGTCAGCCACAATTCACGTTCATTAACGTTCATGGCATGCAGATTGTGCAAAAATAATGCAATTTCAAGAAAGTCAAGAACGATTGGCGCAAGTGCCATAGGATTGTATACGCCCCACCAAAAAGCCCAAACAAGCGCCCTAAACTCTAAACCCTGAACCCTAACCCTAAACCCATCCGAGTAGTTCATAGTAGGGAAGTTGGGATGTAGGTTTCCTACATGGTCCTTTTGCGGGTTCTGTTGGGCGATATACAGCTATCTATGGTTTACGGTTTAGGGTTTTCCCCTTAAGATACGCTCACGGGATCCAACGCTATCAATGCGGAATAAGACCCCAAATGCTGCTTGACTGCTTGCCTACCCTAAACCCTAAACCCCTTGGTAGGCCAGCAACCATATCAAGGGGGCCATTCTTTGGGGTGGGCTACTTTGAAAGGGAACCTTAAACACGAAAAGGGGTAAAGGGTACCACTGGGCTGTCAAGACCCTAAACCCTGAAGGGTTGCTTGGGGCATGTTCCAGGTTGGCGGAGGGGGGAAGTATGAGCTCCCATGATGCTCCGAGTCCCCAAAACTCCTGCAAATACACGCCGATGCTCCCTTTGTCCCCTCATGGTTCTTGAGTTACAAACCTCATGGTTTGCGGTTTCGGGTTTAGGGCTCATGAACATACTAGCTAAACTTGCCCAGCACAGCCGAAGCAAAGGCATAGCAATACGAAGCATGAACTTGCAACATGGAAAACCAACCAGCAAAAACAAACGTGAGCAGCACTCTAAGCTAGGGTCGCTTTTTGGGAACCCTAAATATTAGGGGCCGCCTCACAATAGCAACCCCACAAGGGACCATAATTTAGAGAAGTGACCGAACCCTAAGCCCTAAACCCTAAACCCAAAACCCTAAACCCCCCCCTTCCCCCGCAAAACAAAAAAAAGCAAACACGCGCGGGCCCCTTCGGCAGGGCGTAGATGCCAGATCCCCCGGAGGCGAAGAATCGCAGGGCGCCTCCCTTCCAGGTTGCCGGGCCCAGGCACAGATTCCTGGCGGCTTCAGGGGGTTGGGTTTAGGGTTTAGGGTTTAGGGTGTTTAGGGTTTGGGGGTTCATAATAAGGCTTATGAGCGAGTCTTATAGGCAGTCCCTTTGACGCTGATGCTGCCCAAGTGCAGCGTGACTACGGAGGCGTCCCCATGCTTTGCCAGCTCAGTGTCGCCACTGGGCTCGTACTTTACCTGGCACCAGGGGTCTAGGTTTTAGGGTTTAGGGTTTGTTACCTGGCACCATGGGTTGGGGGTGTCGGGGCCGCCAAGTCGCGCCTCAACCCTAAGCTCGAAAGCCCCAAGCCCGTCAACCCTAAGACCCTAAATCCTGCAGCAGCCGTTTTTTTTTCGGGTGCTGTGACATGGTCTGGGAGCTCGTTTTGAGCCCGGTTTAGACCCTGGGTCTTCACTGCCGACTAAGATTTCGGGTGTAGGGTACCTTCAAAGCGACGGCTTACTAGATTCGCAATCAGATCTCACGATAACCCTAAACCCTAAACCCTAAACCCTAAACCTTAAACCCTAAACCCTAAACCCTAAACCCTAAACCCTAAACCCCTAGGGCTCAGTAACTCCAAGAGTCTGCCGAGCCGGGGCAAGGGATGCCAACGAGATGGAATGAAGAACAAGCCCAAGTGCACCCACAGGGTCCGCTTAGAGTATGATTATGTGTTCTTTTAGGGTTTAGGGTTTAGGGTTTAGGGTGTAGGGTTTAGGGTTTCGGGTACAGGGTTATTCCATCAAATTTCTTCTGAGGGTGCAAACCTGAACCTCAAAATTGTCAATCCGCAGATGCTTGGGGTTTGGGGTTTAGGGTTTAGGGCTTGGGGTTTGGGGTTTAGGGTTTAGGGCTTAGGGCTTAGGGCTTAGGGGTTAGCCACATCCGAAACACAGCTGCGCGGCCGTGAAGGCGTAGTGCTCGTCGGCGTCGTGATCACCCACAAGCTCCGGAAAGAGCATTCCCCCCAAGGGCTTGATGTAAGCACCAACCAGGCCTCGACATCTCGGATATGGCTTACCTGGAGTCTCTAATGTAGTTCCTTTTTGGGCTAGTTGTAGGGGATTCGAGTCTACTACCCCCAAAAGGTACTATGTAGGAGCCTTTAGGTAGGTTAGGCTAATTAGAACTCGGCCTTTCGGGACTAGAAGCCCAACTTAAGACGTGGCGGTCTTCTCTTGGGTTGCCCGGCAACCTGGGAATGTGAACGAGCACCCTTTGTGGGACAATGGGATGGACAAGGGAATCGAACCCTAAACCCTAAACCCTTCAAAGCCTCCACCCTCAATCCTCACACCGCAGGGCTCAGCCCTGGGGAGAAGCTGGCTTAGCAGTTTAGGGTTTGGGGTTTAGGGTTTAGGGTTTAGGGTTTGGGGTTTAGGGTTTAGGGTTTAGGGTTTGGGGTTTAGGGTTTGGGGTTTAGGGTTTAGGGTTTGGGGTTTCGGGTTTAGGGTTTCGGTGGCCAGAACTTGACTTGGGGCGCAAGAACACACTGAGGGCCCTTACATGTGGGTGGAAGATGCAAGGCTTGGGCCGTATGAAACCCTAAGCTAAACCCTAAACCTTAAGCCTTAAGCCTTAAGCCCTAAGCCCTAAACCCCAGAGCCCATGGTACCAACCTTAACACTTATTATGTGCGCTATACATAAATGAGGCCCCATACTTTGGACCGCTTTAAACCCCCTTTAAACGAGAGTAAGGGAGCTTACGAAGGGCCCAGGGGTACCGACCTTAGCAAAGCTAAACCCTAAGCCCTGAGCCCTAAGCCCTAAGCCCTAAGCCCTAAACCCTAAACCCTAAACCTTAGAAGATAATAAGGGCCCATGGTACCAGCCTTAGATTTGAGGTTGCAGGCCGTGAGACCGTTCAAGGCCTCCTCAAAGCCCACCTGGTCCTGAGATTTAGGGTTTTAGGGTTTAGGGTTTTAGGGGGTTTAGGGTTTAAGTTTAGTGTTTTAGGGTTTAGGGTTTAGGGTTTAGGGCTTAGTGCTTTAGGGTTTAGGGTGTGGTTTTAGCGTTTTAGGGATTAGGGTTTAGTGTTTTAGGGTTTAGGGTTGTTTCTGGTTGTTGTTGGTATTCTCTGGGGCTGTCGGAAATTTGGGGCGTACGGGCTTTCGGGGCTGTCGTAGTTTTAGGGGCCTGGGGGGGCTTTAGGTGCGTTTAGGTGCCAGAGCTGGGCCTAACTTGCAACCACACGTCGCTCATGAAAGAACGAAGAAGGGCTTCAGAGTCTGCTCACGTTCCACAACATCCCGTGAAGATTCGGAGGTGAGCGTTTAGGGTTTGGGGTTTAGGGTTCAGGGTCTAGGGCCCGTGCTCAAAGCCCGGCTAAATCCCAGCTCCAGTCCAAAGATCCAGTATGACGCCGTAGCGGTTCATGCCGTTTGGCCTGCAAAGCACTAAGCCCCGGACCCTAAATCTTAAACCCCTGAACCCTAAACCCCTACACCTCTAAACCCCGAAGGCCTAGAGTTGTGAAATTCCCATAGAGTTTAGGGTTTCGGGTTAGAGGCCCTGTAAAAGAGACCCCAATGAGAACCAAGTATATATATATATATGGTACATTCTCTAAATAAGGGTCCCTTTTTGGGTACCCTAAATATTAGGGGCCGCCTGATGATAGTAACCCGAAAGCCTGAAAGGGACCATATTTATTGAAGTGACCATAGACCCCGTTGTAGAAAGCAACTCTGCAGTACCTCCTGAACTCTTTTCGGAAGGTCCCAATATCGCAGCTTTGTCTGGACAGATACCTTTCTGGGCAGAGTTTAGTAGGCTTTCGGGGTTGAGGGTGTAGGGTTTAGGGGGTTATAAAGCCTGCAATAGACTGGAGGCTTCATAGGCAGAGAGGGCTGGGGCTCGAAGCATGGCATCCCTAGTCAAAAAAAGCTATGGCCCTTCAGACGGGCCAAACCCTAAACCCTAAACCCTAAACCCTAAACCCTAAACCCTAAACCCTAAACCCTAAACCTTTCAGACGGGCCAAACCCTAAACCCTAAACCCTAAACCCTAAACCCTAAACCCTTCTGAGACCACCCTGGGTGGGAAGCCTGCGGGTGGGGATGCCGGCGGAGTTTATTCTGTCGAGCTCCTCCAGGACATCCTCACCACGGAAGGGCACTTGAAGGATGGCAGGGTTTAGGGTTTAGGGTTTAGGGTTTAGGGTTTAGGGTTTAGGGTTTAGGGTTTAGGGTTTAGGGTTTAGGGTTTAGGGTTGAGGGTTTAGGGTTTGGGGTTTGGGGTTTAGGGTTTAGGGTTTGGGGCTTAGGGTTTAGGGCTTAAGGGTAAGGGTTTAGGGTTTAGGGTTTAGGGTTTAGGGTTTAGGGTTTAGGGTTTGGGTTTGGGGTTTAGGGTTAGGGTTTGGGGTTTGGGTTTAGGGTTTCGGATTTGGGGTTTGGGGTTTAGGGTTTGGGGTTTAGGGTTTGGGATTTAAGGTTTAGCGTTTGGGGTTTAGGGTTTGGGGCTAGGGTGAAGGGCTTAGGGCAGTACTCAAGAAGGGCTTTCAGCAGCCCCAAAAGAAGCATTGTGCGAGAGAATTCGGATTCTACCGAACAGGGTGCTTTACTTGGTTGAGAGGCCAAGGGGGGTAGCCCATCTTTTGCATAGATCACTCCCATACCCCCCCCCCCCCCCCCAAGCACCTAGCATTTTAAAGACTCGCTTCCCTTAGTGTTCGTGCAATGTTGGGAGGGGGGGGGGGGGTGAATATGAGGGATCCGTCCTCGGGCCTCCTGAACCCTAAAGCCCCTAAACCCTCAGGTCCCTAAACTTGGGATGCTCCCCTGAATTATAGTACCCCATGTTAAAATCCTTGTTAGTAGGGGGCCGGGGGGGGGGGGGGGAACATCCCAAGCCTGTGAAGCAGGGTACATATTTCTTGTACCCCCAAAAGGACACCAGGTATATACACTGACCAATATTAAGAAGGAACCTTATATACACTCACAAAAAACAGAAATATAAACCCTCAACTCATGTATACAAAGTCTGTAGGGCTCATGTGGGCATCAGGGAGCACAGAGGGCGCGGGAAGTTTTCTTTATGGTTCTTATAGTAGGGAATGAGGGAGTTAGGGGCCCTACTAGTATATGCTACCTTAAAGGGTATACATATATGTATGTGTATATACATATATATATATATATATATGTGGCCCTCATTCCCTCACTCCCTACTAAGAACCAGCCAGTGCGTGCGCATCCCGGGACCTTCCGAAATGCTTCTGTAAAAAGATCTTCGCTGGCGAACCTCGGCGGAGCACGGCAGTCCCTGGATAAACCCTAAACCCTAAACCCTAAACCCTAAACCCTAAACCCTAAACCCTAAACCCTAAACCCTAAACCCTAAACCCTAAACCCTAGCCCTAAACCCTAGCCCTAAACCCTCAACCCTATACTAAACCCTGCAAAGAACACCGAGCCCATGAGTCGAGTCGATGGCCTTCCCGATACGTCCGGCACCCACCAACAATGCCCTTAAAGGGTTTAGGGTGTAGGGTTTACAGGATTTTATAATCCCCTAATAGGCTATATATAGGACTACGTATACAATCCCTTAAAGGGTTGTCTTGGATTCTAAAAACCCTTAAGGAAGGGGAGTTCAGGACAGAGGCGGCCGGGGCTGCCTTGGACCCTGGTAAACCCTCAGCCCTTGCATCCGCGGAATCGCACGAACTTGTCTGTACGTTTAGGGTTTAGGGTTTAGGGTTTAGGGGTTGGTACATTTTCAAAAACTGAGCGTGTGGTTGCCTTACGCAGAACCGATACTCCCGAAACCCTAAGCCCTAAGCCCGAAACCCTAAACCCAAAACCCTAAACCTTAAACCCTAAACCCTGAACCCGAAACCCTGAACCCTCAGTAATCAGGTTTGTAGGGTTTCGGGTTTTCGGACTTTGGGCCAGCTGGGTGTTCTACAAGGCCCGACAGAGCTGACTTGAAGGGGGGATGCTGAGCAAGCAGAAACTATGAACCGGTTTAGGGTTTAGGGTTTAGGGTTTAGGGTTTGGGGTTTAGGGGCGCCAAGACTAGTAGTAGTACTGATAAGCATTACAGTGATAGCGATAGAAATCATTACTGTGACATAGCAAATGGCCAGATGGAGCTCAACCCGGCACTTTGCATCTTGGATTCTACAGTCGACCGAGCCTGTAACACGTCACCCTGAAAGAAGGTCTTCCAGTCCCCCTGAACACCTAAGCCCTAGCCTGAAGGCTCCTACACAGCACCTTATGGGAGTGGTAGACTAGAATCCCCTTTAACTAAATCAAGAAGGAACTACATCAGAGCCCCCAAACCCTAAACCCTAAACCCTAAACCCCAAACCCCAAACCCTAAACCCTAAACCCTAAACCCTAAACCCCACACCCTACACCCTAAACCCTAAACCCTCAGGCCCCACTTGCGCAACTCCAGTGCCGAGTGGCACGCCAGGCAGGATCTCCTCGAAGAGCCCTTTTGCCGCCTCTTCGCTCCCTTCAGGGCTTGGGGTTGAGGATTTACTTGAAGGCTTCTGAGTACTTCTCAGACAGGGTTTAGGGTTTAGGGTTTAGGGTTTAGGGTTTAGGGTTTAGGGTTTAGGGTTTAGGGTTTAGGGTTTAGGGTTTAGGGTTTAGGGTTTAGGGTTTGGGGTTTGGGGTTTAGGGTTTCCTACACCCTCAGGACTTTAGACTCCTAGACCCTGAACTCAAGACTGCTTGCAACCCTTCAACTGTAGAGCGAGGATTTGCGGAGGGCACACTGTAAAGTGCCTTCTTGGGATGTTTCACCTTACACTAACAGTCACTAAAAAGGGGGAGTATAATAGGGGAGGTACTATAATCCCGATGAAGGATTTTAAGTATAAGGGGGAACATCCCAAGTGCCATCACGCAAACGAAGTACCGAACTCGCGCTAAACCCTAAACCCTAAACCCTAAACCCTAAACCCTAAACCCTAAACCCTAAACCCCTCACTCCACAGTCATACTACAAGCGCCCACCAGCGGGCTTGACACAGCCGGGCCTTCCTCCCGCGCCAGGCGGGCCGCAGCACGAAGCTTTGAGGTGAGGTAGCCTCAACAAGGCTGAGGGTTTAGGGTTTAGGGTTTAGGGTTTAGGGTTTAGGGTTTAGGGTTTAGGAGCTGAAATTGACTTGCCGTGTATTGTGATTGCTGACTCTTAAGTTCCTTCGTAGCAACCCGGTCAGTCTCGCCTGAGGAAGAAGACAGTTGAGGTTCCGGACCAAAAGCGTGCACTTGCAGCACAATTCTGGGTACAAAAAACTCCATAACCGTCAGACTAAGCAGAGAGCTCTCTGGATTTAGGGCCCCGTGCTCTGAGCCGCACTGAACGAAGCCTTGAACATATCTCAGTCTGCCCTGCATTCAACTGATGGAGCGTCCCGTGACTTTCATGGGGCGAAAAGCGCGTCTGATGGCAAAAGTGGATTTGTTGCCCTAAACCCTAAACCCTAAACCCTAAACCCTAAACCCTAAACCCTACAAAGCACGCCTTTCGTTTGGATGGGCACAAAAAAATGGTCGGCAGGGGGGAGGGCATCGGGACCCTGATGATAGTAGGCCCTGCAAGCCCTGCAGGTTGAGAGTAGGTTTTGTGCTTGTATATTCTATGTTCTATACTACATAATATGTAGACTGTTTATTATATATATATATACACACATATATTCTACTATAAACTACTGTTGATGCTGGAAATCCTGCATGAGTTTCGAAGACAACCCAACCCTCCCGCCGCCCTGAATTTTAACATTGACAGGGAATCCAGTCCGAGAAATCCGGTAGCGCGAATCATTGAAATCCTGCATGACCCCAGGCGCCCAGTCAACACTGAAATTCAGGGGTGCGCAGGGGATGTGTGTACGCAGAGTGTTGTGTGGGTGGCTGGGGTCATGCAGGATTTTTATCATCCACCGTCTCGCGAAGAGGGCTCCAAACAAATCCCCCGCGGTACATGGTGCCGACTTGCGTGAAGGCCGCCTTGGCCGTCGGGTGCGTTTGACTTGTGGCCGCGCAGATCCGCAGCCTCAAGTTCGAGCCAGTTCCTCACGTGCCCTCTACATATCCTGCCTTGCCTCGCCAGCATGCCTGATGCGGGATGGGTCAAGATGACTGCCTCGGAGCGGGAGCTGGCCCAGCGCTGGTACTCCGAAGGGAAGCCTCCGTCCGCAATCGCGGAGCTGCTGGGTCGTGACTCCTCTACCCTCACTCGCCTGCTCTGCATGCAGAAGGTGGCCCAGAAGCAAGGCAGGCCCGCTGCGCTTACAAACGCGCAGGTGGACATGCTGGAGCGCCGCCTGGACGAGCTGATCGTGAAGGCCGATGGCCAGTCCACCATCACTGTGGACAAGCTGCGGAAAGCCACCAAGGTGAAGGCAAGCACGCAGACCATTCTGGCCGCGTTGCACAAGCGGAACATCTACTTCCGCAAGTTGCGCGAGAAGCCAGTCCTCACCCCAGCCGATGTGAAGGCCCGGCTCGCGTTTGCCAAGAAGTACCGTGGCAAGTCCAAAACATGGTGGCTGCGCAACATCCACGCCTTCATTGACGGCAAGTACTTCCAGGTCTACCTCACCGGCAAGGAGAGAGCCCGAGCGGCGACCCATGGCACCTTCGGCGCCTACCGCCGTCCTGGCAAGGGCCTCTGCGCAGGCTATGTCAAGCCGAAGGCAGGGAGCCTGCGGCACAACACGGGCGCCAAAGGTGTGCTTCTCCAGGCCGGGTCTGCCGAAACAGTCGCGCGACTGCCTCCTTGACTGTAGGGGTGCCAGCTCTCTGTAGTCCGCCTCAAGCATCCAGAGTGCTGCGGGCAAGCCTTGCGTGACTCATCCAAGTGTCTTCGTGTCCTGCCCTGTCTAGGTTGGCATTGGTGGAGGGCATGTTGTCACTGTGCATGAGGTCAAGGCGCGCTGGAATGGGCAGGCTGCGGTCACCTTCTACAAGGCTCTGCGTAGCGGCTTGTCCAAGACGTGGCCCGCGAAGCGGAAGTACACAGTGCTGGAGGACAACGACCCGACCGGCTACAAGTCTGCCAAGGGTGTTGCGGCCAAGGCTGAAGAGGGCATCTCCGTCTTCGAAATCCCCAAACGCAGCCCCGACCTGTCCCTGCTCGACTACGCAGTCTGGAAGGAGGTCAACAAGCGTCTGCGCCGGCAGGAGAAATCCTGGCCCAAAAAGAAGCGGGAGGGGCGGCCGGCTTATGTTGCGCGCTTGAAGCGCACCATCCGCAACCTCTCGAAGGACTTCCTGGTGAAGAGCATCGGGGACATGGTTCGTCGCTGCCAGAGGCTCTATGAAGCTAAGGGGCATTTCTTCGAGGAGGGAGGTTCTGGACGCTAGCCAATGGCTGTGCTTTGTTCTGGGTTCGGTTCGAGGCAGGCAGAATGCCACGCTCGGGCCGTGCAAGTCTGCGCCGGCGTGCGCTGGGACTGGAGCTGCCCACCAGCAAAAAAAGGGCCGAAACTGATCCGCGCAGTCTGGGCCTGCAGGATGGAAAGTTGTTGGGGGCAGGAGACTGTCTTTTGATTGTGTGACAGATGCGCAGCAGAGGCTGCCAAACCTAGGCGCTCCTACTGTCGACTTACGTGTGTACACGTGGCGAGTGCGTGGTGCCAACGTCCGCCTTCGGTTTCGGTTGTGTGAGCATAACTAGACAGCTGCGCATGTCCGCGCTGCCTGCCCTGAGAGCGTTACTGCATGCTGTCGGCTTGCGCGACGTCCGCCTTGGCCATCGGTTGTGGAGCGTTGTCAGAACATGAAACACAAGGTCGGGGGGCAAGGGGGCAAGGCGGGGCAAGGGGGTTCGGTGGGAGGGGTGGAGTGGGGTGGGGTGGGGGGGGGGGGCTGGTGCCAGGGCGGGTGGGAGGGTGGGGGTGGGGGGGGGGGGGTGGGGGGGGGGGTGGGGTGGTTAGGGGGTGGGAGGGGGGGGGGGGGTGGGGGGGGGGGGGTGCGGGGGGGGGGGGTTGGTAGGTGGGGGGGGGGGGGGTGGGGGAGGTGGGGGGGGGGGCGGGGTGGGTCGTGGGGTGGGTGGGCGTGGGTGGGGCGATGGGGCGGGGTTGGGTTTGCCATTTACTGGACCAGAATCGGCTTATTGACAAACCTATTAGCAAACATTTAGTCAATCTAATGCATTTAAGCAAACGACTTTTCAAGCGTGTTGTGAAGCTTCTTTGAAGAGGGGCGCAGAATCTGGAAGAGTTGAATTGCTTTTTCTCTTGAGGGATTTTCGTTGGGCGTAGGAGCCCGTACTTAAAAAAGGGGTTTTCGTAATGGGTTTGTAAATATAATATTTTTAGGTTAAGGGTACATGGTTTGTAAATGGTTTGTAATGGGGTGTGGGAGTTTTGATGGACCGCCCCTCCCTCCGCGCACCCCCCGCCCCGGCTCCACCCCCGCCCCGGCCACCTGCCTCCCCGCAGGCACCCCTACCCTCTCACCGCCGGCCGGCCACCCCACCCCCACCCCCACCCCCCGCCACCCTCCACCCCCGGTCCTCCCCCCCTCTTCTCCGCCTCCCGACCCCTCCCCAACAACCCGTTCCCCAACCCCCCCCAACCCCCCCCACAAAGAGATGCGCCTATTCGGTCCTCGCGGAGCATTTCAGACACTGGCCGCGCTTCTTTCTGAACTGCAGCGAGCGGTTGTTTCAGAGGTCGCATGGCTTGCCCACAGAGCGGGTAGCGCCCGCGATGAGTCTGGTAGCGGAGCATCTCAGACACTGGCCGCGCTTCTTTCTGAACTGCAGCGAGCGGTTGTTTCAGAGGTCGCCTGCCCGCCTCGCGCAGTGCGGAGGTCGGTAGCACCCGCAATGAGCCCAGGCCCAGGTCGCTTGCCCGCCTTGCACAGTGAGGAGGTCGGCGGCACCGCACTACTGGTGTTGGTTCCAAAGCCTCAAGCCTATCCCGGTCTGAGAGCCTTTGCCACCACGCCGCCAGACGTGTGGCTCGAGAAGCAGACGCCATGGCCAGTTCCCAGTCATCCTCGTCGTCTTCCGAGGAGGAGGTGGAGGTGGCGGAGCCAAAGCCAGACTGGCTAACGACGGAAGACGCCTCCGCGCGAAGCCTCGTCTTCCTCATCACTTTTGCTGGCATCTTGGAAGAGACTGCGCTGAAGGCGGACAGACCACTCAGGACTCTAGCCGACCTCACACGTGCAGACATCAAGGATGCCGTTCTGGATGCCGTGGCGAATCCCACACAGGAGACATCCCAGCAAGGTGGCCGTCCTCGGTCGAAGTCGCTGGAGCCACAGAAGCTGGTGGTCTTCCTTGAGGAGCCTCGCCACTTCCATGTTGCGCTGCGGCTGAATGCCATCACGCGCTTCCTCCCGTTGAAGATGTCCTTGCGTCAGCGGTCCGGCCTCGCATCCCACTGGAGCACGTCGCACACGCAGTGGTGGAGCGCAGTCCGGTATGGTGTTTTTGCCACAGAGCACAAGCCCGTCGTTGACCAGCAGCCACTAGTGTGGGTGAAGGCAGGCGGGGCGCTAGAGCCGGTGCAGGCTGGTCCTGGGCAGTGCCTGGAGCACAAGGTGGCAGGAACGGACAGGGTCGCTGTCAACCTCTATGAAGAAGCGCAGGAACCGTTCAATGCTGCTGTCTGGACCAAGCGCCGGCAGAAGGCGGAAGCGGCAGCTGGCGGCCAGATGGTGGCCTCGGCAACTGGCAAGAAGGCAAAGGTGGACAAGTTCACCCCGCTGGACTTCACGGCCCTGGTTCTGGAGAAGAGTCTCTGGACCCCCAACGCCGTCATGGCGTACGTCCAGGAGCATGGCTCCCATGCAGCGCAGCTGTACTGCGTGCGGAACCAAAAGCGCCTCGAGGACCTCATCTCGGGCGCACAGGCGTGGAGGGATGCCAGGCGGCAGCATGTGCTCGAGCAAGAAACGGATTGGGCGCTGCTTCATCGGCTCGCAAGTGGGTCCTGCTGCTGCAATGGAACCTGCAAGTGGCTGGCGGCAGCGCGGGATTTCTTCCGCAGGAACCAGGCGACGGTGGACCCAGGCCTGCTCGCTGCGAGCGTTGCCAATGTCATCCAACACGGCCCCAGCAAGACAG